TAAACTCATTCTCACATTGCATTTAGTGGAGAACCTTATTCATGAGTGTTTGAAAGCAAAACAGGCTATGTTACTGGTTCTCTTTACTTACCAACATTCTATTTTATGATATTCATCAGTTTGCCTAGTTATTCCACAAACACTTACTGACCATTTTGTGTCATTCACTAGGCAAGGCTTTAGGAAAACAAGAAATGAAATATACATCCTTTGACTCAGAAGAGCTCAGAGTGAACTGGAGGGAGGACGAGACACAAATAAGGAAGCAAATTAGAAATAAACACTAAGACAGGGGTATGCACAGTCATTTGGGAGTGTAAGAAAGGGAAAAAAACAAACTTCCTTTGCTGGTTCAGAGGTTAGGTTTTTTAAGTTACCTGTACCCAGTTCTTACCTCTGCTACTTAAAGAGTTGTGTGACATAAGATTCAAAGTTCTTTCATTTATAAAGTGGGATAACCATTTCGTCTGTTCCTTATTGGGAATAGAAGAGACAAAGTGCTTAGTAAGGCATACATAACAGGCACTCATAAATGATGCATGATATTCATAGTAAGATATCATTTAGACTGGATAAGGTAGGCTCCCTGGAGGAGGTACTTGCATTGAGTCCTTAACCAATGAACAGGAAGGGGAAGAAATTAAGATGTAAAGTATCCACATTAGCACTGAGAACTTTTCATACTCCAGTCTCTACCTACCTGTGCAAACTTATCTCCCTTAACTCTCCTAAATGAGCCTCTCTTCTATCCAGGCTGGTTGACTCACTGGCTTCAGAATATGCTGTAGTTATTTTCTTTTCTCTATACTGCTTAGCCCATACCTGTGCCTGTTCCTAGCAATGCCTAACCTGTATGTAAGACCAACATAAATTCCACCTTCTTGTAATTGATCAGTGTGGCCCTCATCAATGGCTCCATTCTCTGAATTTTTCCAGATTAACAGACTCCCCTCCATACTTCTTTTGCTCTGCATACATGCTCCTCATGGTCCTTAACTACCTGTACCTTTGCACTGAGACTTAACTTTACATATGATATCATACCCTCTTGGAAGATAAATTCCATGATGGCTAGACTTCATGTAATCAAGAGAAAACAGAGGAAGAATATAGTATGTTAGTCTCAGATCTATTTGGTGCATGAAGGAATAGATCAGAAAACTGTTAGCAACAGTCTCAAAGTTGAATGCAAAGCACATGACGGGTCTGCAAAAGCTTAAATACTTGGATTTAATAGGGTTTCTTGTTTTTAGATTCTCACCTTGATATGCCTGAAGCTCTATCAACAGCAAACTATAAAAACTTTCCACTGTGGATTGTGTTAGTCATTTAAGATGTCTCAAATCCTTCTGGGAACAAGGCATGATATAACAAAATAAAGGAAAGGTTGGCACTCAGCTCCTTGAACATGGCTACTATACTAGAAAGTAATATATTAAGATATGGAACAGTAGAATCAACAGATGTGGGTTAAATTCCTGGCTCCTCAAATTTACTGGCTTCATAACTTGGTCAAATTCTTAACCTTTCTGGGAGATAATTTCCTCACTAATAATGTAGATTAATCACGTACTACTCAGGGTTGCTGTGAAGATCAAATGAGGGAATATACATATAAATGTACATATACATATAACTAGAACAGTGCCAGAAAGATAGTGTTTTCTTAATTACTCATTATTAAAACACTGTACCAATCCACTAACCTTTGTAACTCCTTTAAAGAAAGTAGAAAAAGAGAGGTTGTTTTCCCTCTTCAAAGATGGTATATCCAGAGCAACTTGCTGAAACCCATGAGGCCTCAGTCCTGATCTAGGAATCCTAATCCTAACATCCAGTGTGTAGCAGGGTTGTTTTTATGACCAACCTCTACCTGCTACAGTGAAAAAAAGTTAGATTATATTCTTGTGAGACTTCTTAGAGTAACTGTATCTTTCCAACGTTAAGAACTCTTAAGTACATACAGGAAAAAGTGGGAGGCTTAGAGTCTATAATCAAGTTGGACTCCCATAGAAAGAAAAGAGAGAGTCTCTGTTCCATAAAGGATAAAAGCCAACTCTCCTAACCCTTGAAGGCATTTGAGATCGTGACCTATATGTCTGGCGATTCTTCAGGTCACCCACTGTTAGTCCAAAAAGGCAGGAACCATAACATAAGACACAGAATGGACCTAAGAATCAGGAACTCTTAGAAGTGGAAGAAACCCCCAGCCGAAGCCTCTCCTTATGCATTTGAGGAAGTACACATAAGACAGATGTCAAACTACATGCCAAGCTTCTTTTTGTCTCACCAGGTACTTGCTTCATTGTCAAAATTTCCCTATCATTTCATTATTTCCCTTGCAGTAAGCAAGACCAGTCAGAATAGGTTAATCGGCCTTGCAAAATGGGCCCAAACATAGAAATATCCAAGACTCTTGCCCGTGACAGAACACTAGCACAAAAAAGAAAAAGTAGATACATTCTTGAAGTTACCTGAAAAAATTATCAGGTCCCTGCATAGGAAGTTGTACACAAAGAATGGCAATGCTGCCTACAAACAGAAACATACACTTAGAACTAGAAGCATTTTATATTTCTTCTATAGAAAGAGCTCTACAGGATTACCAAAATTACTGGAAGTTTCCAGTGGTGATAACTGACTTAATCCCTGTGCCTCTTCATGATAATGCAGTAAGAAAAGCTGAATTACACAGTGAGACTTCTTAGAGGTACTGCCTACCAGGTAACAGTTCTAAGAGATGACAAATAGAAACTTGAACCTTTCTTGTTAACTAAACCAACCAAAGTTTAAATGACCATTTTTATCCAAATTCAATCCTAAATTTGTGGCTCTACTCTCCTAAACTCCTAAATTTATCAATTTATGAGTAACACATGAAAATCCTTAGGAAAATTAAATAAATCACTCAGTGAATAAATCCATTCATTTTGAATAAGTGCACATACGTCTAGAAACTAAACCACTTTTGGATGAAATATATTAGCTAGATATAAATAGTCTTCTTATTTAGTCCCTTGAAATTTGTCCTAACTTCAATGACTCAGAAAAATGCTAACACTACAAACTTTAGATCTGCAAAATCAACAGGACCAGAAAATTGAGTGAATGGTGAAATGAACATTAACACTGTTATGCAAATACCAAAAAAAGGTGAAGTGATATTATTCTGAACTTTAAAAGTATTTGGTGACTAGAACATGCAAAACGACATCAGAGTTCTGCTCTGCTCTAGTCAGGAGATCCTGAAAATACTGTGGATGCCATAGCCAAAGGACTATATCAAAGTACACTAATTCTTAAGCAAGAGATAAGATTATCATCACAAGAGAGCTAACTAAGGAAGAAATGGAACAGGAGTACAACTGATGCCTTTAAATACTTGGTGGGGCAATCAGAAAAGGAACTATCATTGTTTTAATTGGCCCTAGGAAAAGAACAAGTACTAATGAATTAAAAGTACAGAAACATAGATTTTGGCTTAACAATAATTCTCCATGTTGGCCTCAAAAGTCAATAAATATTGAGTTGGAAAGGAGAAACTTACCTAAAATTGGAAAAGTGAATCTAAGAGACTCGGGCATGTTGAATGAGCTTTTGACAAAAGTTGAGGAGCTCATATGGAGCATGACACCAAATCATGCAGACTAACAATGACATATATTCTCATAAGTCGACTTCCAAAAAGACAAAGTATGGATGATTCTGAAAGCCATACATTATGAAGAATAATATATGAATGGTGATCAAGCTATTGCAAATTTCCAGAGAAGATGATATACTATTCTAGGTAGTGGTGGTGGAAACAGAAAGGAGTGGAAGGCTTACAGAAACATTTCAGAGTACTTGATGACTTATTCGAGATTCTTAGAATAACAGTATTTAACAGGATTTACTGTGTTAATCTAACCATTCATCTATTAACAATAACTGCAATAGCAGCAAACACATAGTGCTTACCAGGTGTCAGACAATGTTCTGTTTACATAAATAACTCATTTCATTCTCATAACTCTGCTAAGTATACTATTCTGTTATCATGAACATTATACAGATAAGAAACTAAGCCTTATATCAGTAATGATCATCAGCCAATAAATATCAAGGAACTAGTAAGAGATTAAATAGCACATCTGGATCTACATAAACCCAAAACTAAAGCTCTTACTCCAAACTCTAGAAAGCGATAAAAGAAAGGCAAGAAAATCCAAGGCAGGCAGCATATAGTAATGTTAAGAGCCCAGTCGAGAGTAAAGCGTCACGGGGGAAGTGGACTGTAGGGGTTTAAATGAGGATCTGGCAGTATCAGAATAACATAACGCGCTTGCTTAAAGACTAAAGAAAGAAAATACCCAAACAAAAAAACCCCACCTTCATTGAATCCACATTCCTAGAGCTGGGACCTAGGATTTAACGTTTTTTTTAAAGCAAAACCAAAAAACCCGCGTTTAATTTTGGGGTAGCACCAGGTTTAAGAACTGCAGTAACAGATCTTTAAGGTCTCTGTCTGCTTTAACATTCTAGCTAACACTCTAAATGAGTTTTCCAGAAATGAAAGGAAGCGGGGAGGGATACTAGCACCAAGAAAACGGCTGTGCATTTACAGTCCACACCATTTATGCTCCCATTTTTACTGAACAGTCTCTCATAGGAACAGGGATAGAGCTGGCAATGGAAGGAAGGATGCGGTGTTCACAGTATGCTGGCTAAAAAGCAAGCTTCCCCCCAGAATTTACTAGTACCAGTAGCAGAAATAAACCCTTCCAGTCTGTCAATACATGTGGTAATTTGACTGAAAAATGGTATGGTTTCTTCAGATCTGTGTCTGGCTAACACTGAATGCCAATATATTCTTCTATGTGTTCGCAGGCGTTGCAGGAAACCTCTAGGTTGGCGCCTGCCTGCTAAGCTAAATGAATCTGGCCCAGCAGAAAAGGTGCTTGCTTCGCAATTACAGCCTCACCTACCCTACTCCCGGGGATGTCCTGTTTCGCACATACCTGAGGGTCCTCTGGTAAGATTGATGTTTTCCTCAGTGACCAAATAATCCACTCTTCCATTCATGTTTTACTGCTTGTCTAGCTACCCACTTGGGTCAGCTAGGGACTCGCACAGGTGAAGGTGAACCAACCTCTAGCGGCGGCCACACCGCCCTTTCGGTTTCCGCTGCTGCCGGACCGGAAGAGGAAGCCGGGAGCGTTAGGAGCGCCAGGGATTCTGGGAGTCGTGGTTCCAGCCGTCGTTGCGTTGTCTCGTCTCGCCCACTCCTCAAAGCGAACTGTGAGATGAACAAGAAGCAGAGGAAAAATAAAACTTCTCTCTCTGCAATAGTATGTACAGCTTGGAGTAGGGCGCTTAGGCCAGCTCCCGCGGTGACGGCAGATGAGGCACGATCTTCTTTGATATTTTTACATTTCAAAGAGTGGCCTCCCAGGACCTTAAGGAAAACTTGGGGCTGTACCTGCCTTGAGAGGCTTATTTCGCTTTTAAAACGGTTTATATACATATAAAAGGGACAGAGGAAGGGTTTTTAATTACAAGTTTGCTCAAGAAAAAAGTGATAGGAGTAAAAGTCTCTTCCTTGTGGTAACAGGGAAAAAATTTTAATGTTTCACACTTTTCAGTAAGAAAGACTAGGATGAACTAGCTGTGATTTCAGCCCAGCCTTCCTAACGTTTGAGGTAGAATTCCAAAACAGGGATTGAATGAACTTTCAGGGGTCAAAAACTCAGAAAGCCTTAAAGGGCCAAGAAGGTGACCTAAATGTGGGAAACAACCTGGAGTTAGACCTCAGGGATTGGTGAGGACCCTGGTAGACTGAAAAGTGCAGTTTCAATTAAGAATCAAATTTAGATTAAATAGTGAAACCAGATGCTACTGTTTACCAAACCAGCAAAAAAGAGGCAGAATCAGCAGGAAGGCCTCTTTTTTGCTAATCCTCAAAGAAGTTAATACAGAGTAGTTGGAAAGAACATGAGGTGATGTCAGAAAACCTGGTCTAAAGTTTCATTCCCATCTTCTTCCAGTTCTCTGGCTTTGAACAGGTAACCTAACATCTGTGTTTCCCCATCTAACAAAGGACATGATAATAGATCTTTAAAAGGTTGTTGAAAGGATTAAATGAAATTCCAAAAATTGCTTCTTGACTTCATACTCAGAGTCATTACACCTACACTTCCAAACTTCCTCAGTATATTTTGGTTGAATGAGTGAACAAAATGATCATAATAAAAAGCAGGGTATCATAAGTGAAAAAAGGTTAAGTAAGTGACCTTGAAACACCAAGAGAGAAGAGATCAAATAGGAATGGGAAAAGAAAGTCAAAACAGTCATCAATAAATTTGGAGCAAGCAAACAAGACAAAATAGAAACAAACTCATAGATAGAAGAAACAAACTGTTGATTACCACAGGTAGGAAGGGCTTGGGGGACATGTGAAATAGGTGAAGGAATTAAGAGGTACAGACTTCCAGTTATAAAATTATCAGGGGAATGTAATGTACAGCATAGGGAATATAGTCAATATTATAATAACTTTGTATAGTGACAAATGGTAACTACACTATTTGCATAGTGACAAGTGGCAACTAAGTGGTTTCATATGGAATCACTATGATGTACACCTGAAATAATAGGATACTGTATGTCAGTTATATGTCAAAATTAATTAATTAATTTGGAAGGTAATAAACAACAAAATCTTTTGTAGACTACTGAGTGGTAAATCACTAATCTGTACCTGGGAAAATTGCCCTTTTCATCTGAAAACACAGCTTCAAAAGAAACACATAGAACAGTAAAATAAAAAGGGTCATCAAATAAGTTCAGGAAATGCTGATATTAAATGGACAGAGTCAGCATGTAAATTGCCTTTACACTTTTATTATAAGTATAGTTTTTAAGAATTAGGAAACTTAAAATCTACGAAGGCAGAAAACAGGCAATAGGGGTTTCCACTTAAAAGAAAACAATTGAGAAAAATTATGGAATCAGGATAGCCATGGAGAATGGGACACAGAATCTGTGACACTGAAAAAGTGGGCTAGAAACAGATCATGAAGGAGCACTATATGCAATAGGCTAAGAGGGAAGTTTGTTTCTCTCACATTAAAGAACTCTGGAAATAGACAGTACAGGGCTGATATGAAGGCTCCTCAGTCAACAGGACCCAGGTTTGTTCTAGCTTTCTGTTCCCCTCTCTAACCCCCATCTCTGAAGTGTGGCCTTTGCTTCATGGTCCAAGATGTTAAGATGGGTTTTAGAACTTCATCCATCATATCCACATTCCAAGAAAGCAGTGAAGAATAGGCAACGAAAGCTCCATATCCTTATGGAGAGTTCTTGGAAGTTTCGTATACTTCTTATAACTCATTGGCCAGAAACCTGGTCACTGTTTCTACTTAACTGTAAGAGAGGGCTAGGGTATGTTATATTTTAATGGGATGGAAATGTGCCAACTGAAAAATCAGGGTTACTATTATAGAAGGTGAGAATGGATATTGGGAGGCCATTGGTAGTCTCCAACACAAGAAGTGACACTTTCTGCCTGAAGTAGCCTTTTTGTTTAAGGCCTTATGACCTTGAAATATAATAAAAGTAAGAAACTTGGTGGCCTTAACATACAATTTATGAGATCAGTGGAAACACACCTTGAGGCACGTTACTAACACCTTGCTTTGTTTTTTGTGCATTTCATGTCATACATTCACTTTGTCTTTCCAATCTCCTGTCTGCTGCTGCTCCCTCCTCCTTCAATATTTTATTCTGTCAGCCTCTCTGATGACCATCTTATGGATGTGTTTGTATTTAGGACTTATCCACCTCTCCTTTGATATGCCATTTGTTTCCAATTGCTGTCCTGTAACTGACCTCTTTGGTTTCAAACTCTTGCATATTTTGTATTTTCTATGCTTCCTTAGGTGATTAAACCTCTTTCTGATTGACACAATTTTTACTCTGTTGTGTTATTACATTTAAACAGATGGTTGTTTGTTAGGGCTATCACAGACTGGATGGCTTAAACAACAGGCATTTATTTACTCACAGTTCTGGAGGCTGGAAGTCCCAGATCAAGGTGTTGTCAGTGTCAGTTTCTTCCCAGGATTCTCTCTTGCCTTGTAGATGTCTGTTTTCTGCCTCTGTCTTCACATGATCTTTCCTATGAGTGTGCATGTATATATCCAGACATCCTCTTCTTAGAAGGATATGGGCCTTATTGGTTTAGGTTTCATCCTAAAGATCTCATTTTAAATTAACTACCTCTTTAAATACCTTATCACCACATATAGTTATATTCTGAGGCTCTAAGCATTAGGGCTTCAAAATATGAATTTTGTGGGGACACAGTTCATCTGTAACACAGATTATAGTGAAGTCTTATAGATTTTGGAACTGTTCCTTATCTTTAAAATATTGCATATCTCTGTTCTGGCCCAATACATGTTGGTTTTACAGTTTAACCCTAAAGTAGTATTATTTATTTAATTTCCAAGTTCTTGGGGTAAATTTCACTGCAGGCCCCAACTGTTGATAACAACAAGGAGTTTACAGTTATTTCATTCTCTAGCAGCCTTTTTGATTGGTACTCTCCATTCTTTTCTATATATATATATATATACACCCTCCTCAAAAGAAGTCTAATTGAGTTCCTTGGCTGTAAATGCTATTATTATGCCAGCCCTCACCTCTTCACTGAACATCACTCTTATGTAACCCAGTTGTCTACCTGTCATCTCAAGATTTGGATGTCTAAACAGCATCTTAAATTACTATGATGAAAATAGAATTCCTAATTCCCATACCCTATACCTATACCTCCTTTAGTCTTTCTCCTTTCTTGGGTAACTTTGTTTACTCAGTTCAAATAAAAATCTTCAGGACCATTCTTGATTCCATTCTTTCCCTCATACCCCACATTCAACCCATGAAAAAGTTCAGTTGTCTTTATGTACTAAAAAATATAGCCTGTATTGACCATCTCTGTTACTACCATCTTATTCCAACCCACCAATATCTACTGCTTAGATGTCTAATATTCTTTCTAACAGTTTGCCCTGCTGCCACTCCCAACCCCCAATCCATTCTTCCCATAGCAGTTGGAGCAATACTGCAAAAATGTAAGTAAAAGCATTTCATGCCCCTGCTTGAAATCCTTCAATCAATACCATGTGATGTAGAATTTAGTCCAAGTCCTTAAGAGTGCCCACAAAATTGCACATAATCTGGCCTCTGTCTAGCCCTCTAATTCATCTACTCCACAACTCCCTTCCTTTCCCCCACTCACTACTTTGCATCTTCCATGACTTTCTCTCTATTCCTCAAATAAACTTGTCTTTGCTTTAGATGTTTGCATTTGCTGTACCATCTGCCTGCACTCCTTCTTGTTCAGTACCATATCTCTTATACCTAGAAGAGTTGGCAGCAAATAGTAGGCCATCAGTGGTTGAATGCATTTCAGTGATGATGAAACTTAAACTCAGTGACTTGCTGAAGGTCACACTGAAGTTATCATTTGCTCTCTCATCACCTGCTGCTCCTAATAGTGTCCTAGCTCTAATTGCCTGTGTTCCTTTTAGCTCTTCCCACTGATGGTCGTTATGCCTCAAAATGAATCCAGAATGTTTGCCTCCAAGAGGTAGTCTCATTTATTTCAGACTGCCAAAAGATAATTTGGTGCCTTTGGTAACAACTGGTTAAATTACATAATTACATAGTCTGTATCTTTGTTTGCAGCTTTTATATACACTGGCAACTGTCTCTTTAAAATTAGAACTTGTTACTTCTGGTATCTACTGACACCATTTTATTCTTTCATGGTAATTGGCCTTATCAGATACTGCTATTGGGAAATGAAACCTTGTTGTTCCAATATCAGACCCAGATGTATGATCACTTGTTTCTTAAATGTGCTGTTTTTCCCTTTTGGAGAGAGTTGGCCTGCCTAGCATATTCAGTCATCATTCCACAGACTGCCTTTGCAACAATTGATATGGATGTGATATTTTTATGACCTTATGAAATGGATTGTCAATATTTATTTTAAAAAATTAGCTACCTATATAATTATGTTGTTTCCCTCCTATATAATCCTTCACAATTTCTCTGGATTGGTCCACCTTTTTTAGTCACCTGACTGGTTTCTATGTTAAGTGGTTAATAAAATTTGACATGTTGAGGGATTAAAGATGGCGGCATGAGAGGTGAGACAGAGGCTTCCTCCTAAAACCACATATAATATGAAAATATAATTAATACAACTAATCCTGAAAGAGTAACAGG